ACGATAACTCTCTTCCTAATTGGGCTAGAATGTTCAAACTTGGTGTATGTGTTGATTAGGTCAATGCCTTGATGGAGTTCGAAGATGAGCATTTTCCGCTTAGGGTAAGCAGAGATAAGCAATTTGATTGGTTGATGCTTTGGGACACGATAACTTTTAATTGAGCTAGAATGTTCAAACTTGGTGTATGTGTTTATTAGGTCAATGCCTTGATGGAGTTCGAAGATGAGCATTTTCCGCTTAGGGTAAGCAGAGATAAGCAATTTGATTGGTTGATACTTTGGGGCACGATAACTCTCTTCCTAATTGAGCTAGAATGTTCAAACTTGGTGTATGTGTTGATTAGGTCAATGCCTTGATGGAGTTCGAAGATGAGCATTTTCCGCTTAGGGTAAGCAGAGATAAGCAATTTGATTGGTTGATGCTTTGGGACACGATAACTTTAGTTCTAATTAAGTGAGATTGATGAAACTTGGTGTATAGTTTCATTACAGTAATACCTTGACTAAGTTTGATAATGAGCATTTTCTGCTCAGGGTAAGCAGAGCGATACGCAATTTGATTGGTCGAGACTTTGGAAAACAATAACTCTCCTACTTTGATTGTCCCCCGCCTTTCGAAGAAAGCAGGGAACTATTAAAATGGGTTCATAAAAGCATCAATTGAGCAATTCCAATACAATCCAATACAATGAATATAGGCAAGGTAAATAAACAAATAAATGGAAAAAACAAATTGAAAAAGAAACTATTATAAATTAATTAAATATGTAGTATGCAATAATGAATTGACATTTAATGACAGAAAGAAAACAGTGAACTTTGCACAACTTGCAGCAAGATGGAAAATAGACCCGTTGATACAACCAAACTCTAGATCTGTAGGCATAGAGCATGTTTTCCCCTTAATATGCTATAATTATTCCATCAAAAACATTGTATGCTTAGACTATAAGTAAAGATATACTGTTTGATTGTTCAATACTTTGTAAAAGATAATTTGTGATAAATTTATATGTGTCCTCTAATTATTTTCCTATTTCGGCGGGGGACATCAGCCTCACTGTTGGCTTGTTAATCTAATGATATGGTTGAAGAAATCCAAGTCGACTGATTAAATGTAAATTTGTACTTGTATATTAGATGATTAAAAAATCCACCTGCGTCAGCTTTTGATCATCCTACTACTCAGATTCACCGACTTGTCTAGTCTCTGCTGCCTTTTTGTTGCTGTTCCCGCTCTCACTTATATATTCAAAGAAAAATACTTTTTACATAATTAAAAAATAATTTGAATTTCTTTACAAATATGTATTGTTTCAACAAATTAAATGGATGATTTATCCCATATGAACAAGATTTGAGGTGTAAAATTCTGTCAGTCTCTTTAATCTGTAATAGATTTTGGTGATTAAGTTATTTAATTTGGTTATTTGTTCTTGTGGTAGTTTACCTGGTAACTTTCAATCCCAAACTGTCGAAATGCTGTTGCTTTGTTCTAGACACCGATCAACTGGCGTTAACAAGCCTGTCTAGTACAGATTTGTCTTTTCTATTGATTTCATTAATAATTGATTTATTAAAACATCTCTGAAAAAGTTCAGAATGTCATGAACTAGTTAAAGAACGTTTAAAATAAATGAATTTTGGTACTAATTCAGTGGTGCCAGCCATTTTTATACGTCCACATTCATAATGTGAACGTATTATGCCGTCGCCCCTGTCTGTGTGTGTGTGTATGTATGTATGTGTGTGTGTGTGTGTGTGTGTGTGTGTGTGTCTGTGGTTCGCCTACAGGGCGCAATTCTTCATGGATTTTCTTCAAACTTGGTATACTTATTCCTTATACCCCAAGGAAGATCCCTATTGTTTTTGGTGCATGCCCGACCCCCCGGGGCAGAGCCACGCCCATTTCTAGTATTTGTTTGTTTGTCGTCTACAGGCCACATTTCTTAACTAATAATCTTGAAACTATGCATACTTATTCTTTGTACCCTAAGGAACATCCCTATCGTTTGGGGTGCATGCCCGACCCCAAGGGGCAGAGCCACGCCCACTTTCTTTTCTTTGTATGTCTGTGTGTCGCCTATAGGCCACAATTCTTAATCAATCGTCTTGAAAATTTTTCATATGAATTGCTTATACCCTAAGTATGATCCCTATTGTTTTTGGTGCATGCCCGACCCCCAGGGGCAGAGCCACGCCAATTCCTTATATTTATTTATTTGTTTGTCATCTACAGACCGCATTTCTTAACGTATCATCTTGAAACTATGTATACTTATTCTTTGTACCCCAAGGAACATCCCTATCGTTTGGGGTGCATGCCCGACCCCAGGGGCAGACCCACGTCCATTTTCTTTTCTTTTTATGTCTGTGTGTCGCCTATAGGCCACAATTCTTAATCAATCGTCTTGAAAAATTTTCATATGAATTGCTTATACCCTAAGTATGATCCCTATTGTTTTTGGTGCATGCCCGACCCCCAGAGGCAGAACCACGCCCATTCCTTATATTTATTTATTTGTTTGTCATCTACAGACCGCATTTCTTAACGTATCAACTTTACATACTTATTCCTTATACCCTAAGGATGATCCCTATTGTTTTTGGTGCATGCAAGCCTCCCCGGGGCAGAGCCACGCCCATTTTTTGTATTTGTTTGTTTGTCGTCTACAGGCCACATTTCTTAACGTATCATCTTGAAACTTTGCATACTTATTCTTTGTACCCTAAGGAACATCCCTATCGTTTTGGGTGCATGCCCAACCCCCAGGGGCAAAGCCACGCCCATTTTCTTTTTTATGTCTGTGTGTCGCCTACAGGCCACAATTCTTAATCAATCGTCTTGAAATTTTTTCATATGAATTGCTTATACCCTAACGATCATCCCTATTGTTTTTTTACCCCCAGGGGCAGAGCCACGCCCATTTTCTTTTCTTTTTATGTCTGTGTGTCACCTACAGGCCACAATTCTTAATCAATCGTCTTGAAAAAATTTCATATGAATTGCTTATACCCTAACGATGATCCCTATTGTTTTTGGTGCATGCCCGACCGCCAGGGGCAGAGCCACGCCCATCCCTTATATTTATTTATTTGTTTGTCATCTACAGATCGCATTTCTTATCGTATCACCTTGAAACCTAGCATACATATTCCTTCTATCCTAAGGAACATCCCTATTATTAGTGGTGAATACCCAACACCCAGGGGCAGAGCTACGCCCATTTTCTTTTTTTATGTCTGTGTGTCACTTGCAGACCGCATTTCTTAATCGATCATCTTGAAAACTTTTTTATACTTATTCCTTATAGCCTAAGGCTACTTTTTATACTTATTCCTTAATCCTAAGGCCGACCTCTATTATTATTTTTGGTGCATGCTCGACCCCTTGGGACAGAGCCACGCCTAACGTTTGTGTGTCCTGTGTTTTGCCTACAGACCGCAATTCTTAACAGATCCTTTTGAAACTTTGCATACCTATTCGAAACGTCATGCTTTTAGAATAAAGACATCGATTGTTTTAAAATAAAAATTGTGTTCTGTTAATGTGAACGAAGTGTTAAACTGATAGCAGTCCTACAACCCAGTTTTATTTCACAGACCCTCAATGCAAACTGGACCATATCAAACAAAACAGGAATGTGGACGTATATTGCTGCGTTAGCGATGCTCTTGTGTCAGATGCAACTAAAATCGTTATTTTAATGCCTGGGATTTAATATTGTTAAGAATTCCATCCAATTTGTTCAACAGTGATAAAAAAAATAGTTAAATTTGCCTGGATAGTGGTGTGTCCCCTTTGAATTCCATCTAATGTAATTGACAATTTAACACATTTTACGACCTCTGTCCATTCTCAGTCAACATCCAATGGCCTACCATTTAAATGACTCCTGGCAAGTGTGTAGCTTTGGGGTTACAGATGTACATGTACTTATAATTCTATTGGCCATTGATGTCAAATAACAAAAACAGAAGTAGACAGAATCATCCTGTAACGGCTGTAACTCCCACATTGGAAGCGGTAGGTCAACGTCACCAGGCCATTATTACTCGCTGGTAAAAGCTGCCCCTATATACCAAATTTCAGCCTATGGATAGCCCTTGTATAGCCACTGACCCTGAACAGACAGGCAAACCACAGTCACAAATATTAGTATAGATTTGGAGGAATTTGAATAATTCAGTAAATCTCTTGCCAGCAACTTTTCATCATATCATCAATGGAGAATGTTTAGATAAATTTTAAAAGAATAAAAATGTGACAGCCTTGTTTACGATGGATTTTTTTGATTAAAAAAAATTTCTTGCTTTATTGAAAGATATTTTTGTTTCGTAAAGCATATCCTAAAACATAAATCTTAGCAATTGACTTAATATTATGTAAAATTATACCAGAGATTTCTTTCATAATTACCACAGAATTTGTGTACTTCTTCGTTGAAAGTACATTCATTTAAATCCTTGCCCATATTGCTTCAAACAAGAAAGACAATCATTAAAAAAATATTGAATGAATCTTGTCGTTTGAACAGAGCGTCATGAATTCTTGTTAATAAATGGCGTAATGTTGCTTCAGGAAATGATTTTGTGTGACATGCATTTGGGATTAGACATCTAATAGAAGAAATGATTTTCTAGATATAATTAGGGACTTATCTTTCCCTAATGGCCTAAATTAGATGCTCATCCAATATTAGGATCAATAAAACGGTGATATTATTTTACAACGTTGTGGACTTGCATGGTACAGAACTACTGATACACTAACAAGCTGTATTCATGTACCCTATCGCAGGGCTGGTTTACAAAAAATGTTACATTAATGGTAGTAATGCCATAGTAACCAGAGTTGAGTAGAGTCGCAGTGTTAATTCTCATTTGAAATTAATCATTTCAGCTTTTTTTATGTAGTAATACCCATTACATAACAAAACAACAGACATTAATATTTTAGCCAATGATTTATAGATGAATGTATTTTTATATTGGTAGCTCATATACCCATACAGTGATAAGGTCAGCAGAAAACAAGCTGTCTGCCATTGTGGAGCTTGATTGTGATAATAGGTTTTGAACTCAGTTTGACAGTAGTGATGGTAGTATGGTGACAATATGGTGGCAAGGGATACTAGAGGTTAGAACAGTGTGATCCAGAAGGATTGAATGTAATTGCATTATTGATTATCTGAAGCTGCATGTTCACTAGTAAGTATATTTTATTGATTATTTTTGTTCACTAGCTCTGAAATTATTTTAACTTCTTTGATCTGGAAGAATAGTGGATGTATATACCGATATAAGTGTATTATTGAAATATGTTTTGTAATGGATTGAGATTCTAGTAAGTTGTAGATGACTTACAAGGACAGCAGTTTACATGTACATTGTATATTCATGTAAGTATTTGTATACACGTTTTTCAAGTAGGATGTAACTGTATATGTATTTTTACTTAGATTGCATGTTTCAATTACGTATTTAAACCGGATTTTGCGTGTCTTATATTGCATATCTTTGTTATTGGCGGTGTTGCATGAAAGGGATATTTAAAGATTACTGTAGAAAAAGGTCTAATAAATGATACACAGTGAATAAAAGGACAATTTTTACACAGTATAGAAACTTGACACTTGGTTGGCTAACATCCAGACATCATATATTATGAATGGAAACTTCTGTCATGCATATCCGTTTCATATACTACCCAAGTATGATAAACTTATCAGTGTGGTATACTAAACATAACTTTAAAGATGTTACGCCTATATAAATATTTGGTTCTTTGTTCGTGGTTTATGTGCAACATCACATGCGTACATAGGCTGCTGTGTTTTATAATGGCTGATATTGCAACAGCAAATGTTTTTGTAAGGTTTTAGTGGGACTCCCAACACATAATTATTGAAGTTTGTTATGTTGTTGTGGTTAAAGGACCCCAAGGCAGTAAGATTTGAATAGTTTGCTGTGACTATTCTTTGTAGTTTAATCCAGGTATTTATTTTATCTCAGATAATTACTGACAAGGATAAACATCATTTAACTTGCGGCTAAAACTGAAGTGTTCTGAATGCAGACTTGTTAAAATTTCAGTAATCACATTGCTCAAATTTCTTCTTGGTCTAGTGATAACTATTTTTGGTAGATGTTAGTCAGTTACAATCAGAAAAATAAGGTGGCTCTCAATTCGGGTACTCTCCGTTCCAGAAGTTTCTCAGGATTTGGGGTCTTTTCCAATACATTGTATTTGGATAGTTTTGTATTTTCAGTCATTCTATTTGTACCTGCATCCCAACATTATATCGGTTGAGGTACATTGTATGTGTATTCCTACCTAGTAAGAACAGGGTACCATCATCTGAAGGATTGGAAAGTCCATTCAATACTAGACCTTGGCTTACACTCTTATTATATTGCTCTTAAATATTAACCATCAAGAGGTGATACAGACTACATTTTGAGTAATGTTACATCAGAATTAAGAATTTGATTGGGCGAATTTGATAAGTGATGGGGAAAGCGCTATAGGATCAGTTTTTATATGCCCACATTGAAATGTGGTCGTATATCGTGTTGCCCTATCGCTCTGGTGTCCACAAGCTCTAGAGGCTAAAGTTAATATCTGATTGACTTTAAATTGTTTAAGGTTATAAGACGAAGAAGCCTATTGATTTCGGATAATTACTGCCAGAGTTATGGCCCTTGATCACTTCAAAAAATCTTGTGGACGCTCTAGAGGCTAAAGTTAATATCCGATTGACTTTAAATTTATACACAGTGTTTAAGGTCATGAAACGAACAAGTATATTGATTTTCAATGAATTTTGATAACTTGAACAGCTAAATCCATGATAATAAATATTTCGTATACTAAATGTTAGCATGGGGCAGAACTTTATAAAAACCAAACAAATTCTAATGATTTTCTGATAATTACTTAATGAGTTGTTACTCTTAATCAGATTTTAAAGTTTCATTACTGACTACCGGACGATTTAGCTGCTGTTGGCGTATGTTTCGTTGCCTGGCAACCTATCTTTTGTTTTGACAGATTACGCACAAATGAACTTGTTTACAAATTTTAATTGCCTTACTGTGATGACGATGGATCTCAAAAATTGATTACATGTTAAAACTGAAATTATCTGTCGACATGGTATTTTCATCAAGGCAGATTGGCATCCTCCAAAGTAAAGCAATACATAAAATCCTTGAAATTAACAATTTTGTGTTTAGTCCAAATTAAAGCAGCCATACTTGGATGGACAATAGATACACCTTTGAAATGTGGTACCAGTAATGTTTTGGGATAGGATCATTGTTGGTCAGTAGAACTATATTAGTTAGAACCATATTGCTCAACATTTCATGCCGTTCTTTTCTTAACAATCATCAATGCTGTAAAAGTTTAAGCGATAATACATTTTAAGAAAAGTGACACATGTAAACAAAAGCCAGTATAGTTTAAGATTAGCTATGATTTGATACACAAATTTCAAATAGCCAGAAAAAATTTTAATATCTTTTAAGGGAAATAAATATTTACTTGACTTTGGACATGATGGTAATATATATAAATCATCTATTATTTTCATGAATGACCTCAAACATTAATGGCTGATCTCCCCTGTTTATTCTGTTGGTAATGACTGTGAGTTGTAATCTTGTATCTGATAGCTTATAATTGTTTAGTTAGTTGATGAAGATGAAGAATGGTTGGGGATAAATTGTATCAACAATAGGCTGAAATCAATTTCTGTAACCATCAATATAAAACAAGACATAGGCTAGACAGTATTTCCTGTGAGATTAATAGAATGACTGCAAACTGGAAACTCGGATTGCAGTCTGCTGATCAAATCATTCATGCCAATTGATTAAGGTATGAAATCAGAATCTGTGTACACAAAAAAAATATGACCTGATGAAATAAAATAAATTGTTTATATTGATTGAATACTTATATATTTGTTTGATTATGATATATATTTTTATGAAATACTTCTGAATTTTCAGAAGCTCGAGGGGAGCCACGGTGGCTAGGTGGTTAAGACGCTGGCTCGCTAGCCTGGAGGTCGGGTGTTCGATCCCTGCATTGGCCTAGAAAGTTCATCCTAATTTTCCGACGTGGTTTCCCCTTGTCAATGGTGCAGAACGGACAGCTGTCTAGTCCTTCGGATGAGACAAAAAACAAAGTCCCTGTATACATTGGAATGCACATAAAAGATCCCTTGGCAGTTGGAATTCGATATAAGAGTAGGCAATAGTGCCAGTGCCCGGGCAAAATTTCCCTCATAGCACACTGTATGGCGTATGCCCGTCTTCATTAGCCCAGTATAGGAGCAGAACAGTAGGACGTTAAACCCCATTGCATTTCATTTCATTTCAGAAGCTGGATTAATTGTATAATACAGCACCTGTATCTTTTTATACACAGATATTAAAATGTGGTCATATGTTGGCATCATCACTGTCTGTCTGTTGTCATGAGATAAATAAGATGCTTGATTTCTCATAATTACTGGGAGAGTTATGGCCCTTGATCAATCTCGAAAATCTTGTGGAAGCTCTAGAGCAGTGGTTCTCAACCTTTTTTAGCCAACGGCACACCTTGGAACACATGAAAAAATAGCGACACACCTGGTTAAATATATATGAAAAATATTTGAATTTTGCAAAATAAAAACATGGCAAGTCATAGACGACATACAACCGTAGACACATAGAATGACTCAAACTAAATAAAGAACATACTTTATTGCAGTGTTTCAAATTTCATCAGTTAAATAGCTGGCTTCTTTAGTGAGAAATTTTCTTAGTGTGCTGTTCAAAATTTTGCGGCACACTTAGGAAGATCGCGTGGCACACCTATGTGCCGCATCACACTGGTTGAGAATCACTGCTCTAGAGCCTAAAGTTATCTGAATTGACTTGAAATTTATGCACAGAGCTCATGGTAATGAGATAAAGAAGCCTATTGATTTCTTTGTAGATGCTCTAGTTTACAAGGACTTCAAATTGATACTCATTGTTTGTGTTCATAAAATGAAGAAGCGTATTGATTTTCTTGTGGACACCTTACAGAAAATATTAATATCTTTCAAATAGTGAAATAAATATTTGCTTGACTTGGGAGTTTGGACTGAAAAATGTCTTTAGGCATGATTTCTGTGTATGTTATTGTATTTTGAAAGGATATAACTTATTAGATACAACATGATGAATTGGGGAGAGGAAAGTTAAGTCTAGTATATGAATATGGTGGTATAATTATCTAATCAGTTAGCTGATCATGTGTTGTAAGTCTCAGAAATTAATTCTAGCTATAAATGTTCGGAGAAACTATTGATTTTTCCATTTATATGTGCATTAAACAGTATACAAATCTGTGAATGTACATGCAAGAAAACATGTACGTAAGATCAAATATAGGTGCTTTTCGTGAGTAGACTGGACATTTTTAATATAGTGATAAGTAGCAAATCATGAACAATTTTCTGTGTACTTCTCTGCTTAACAGTTTTTACGCAAATAACACAATTGCCTTATTGACATGTAATTCCAAAGAGTGTGGCCTAAAACACATGTTTTAGAAGTATATTTTGGGTTAAAATGTCCACAAAAATGTCTAATGTGCATGCATCTGAAAACTTATTCTTGTATGATGTTTTTGATTTTAAACTTAAATATTTTAACAGAGGACACATAGTCATAAAGTTAATCCTAAGAGAGATATTTTATAATCACATTCAAATGGAACATCTGCTGCAAACCCGTGACATTTATTTAATCATAAATAGGCATACATGTACTTAATTTTGGATTTTAAATTGACCCATTTTATTATATGCCCACATTTCATATAGTGTTGTCACCCTATCCACAAGGTTGTATGTGACAAGGAGTAGGGTCGCCTGTCCAACCTCGTGGGTTTTCTCTGGGTCCTCCAGTTTCCTCCCACTGCTAAAGACCCCTAGTTTGTGTCGAGTGGACGTTAAACCCCATTTCTCTCTCTCTCTCTCTCTCTCTCTCTCTCCCCTGTCCACAAGTCTGTCTTAAATTTCATTATCTCTTTCTTGGTATCACTCTGGAGACAACAGAAATCATAGGATCATTTTAATATTTTAATTGGTTGTTCAGCTTATTAAAAGGAAGGCATCTATTGATATTGAATGATTATTCCAGGAGTTACAACCCTAGGTTTATGA